CTTGAGTAAATGCTTGAAGTTTGCGAATAGGAGTTATAGACGGTTTAGACTGTGACCGCGACACGAGATCGTGTTAGACAGCCGTATATAAACAGTCGATTGGCTAATGCCAAAACACATCTATTTGAGCTAGCTTTTTGCCTCTTTTCGCTGTTGCGCCGCCCGTTGTAGCTTTTCGGCGATCGGAAAAGTAAATCTCCAGAACCCCTCATCTTTGCAATCTTCCACTGAGAGGGCGAATAAGCGTGCCAGAATAACGGAGGTCTTCGTTTTCACCGCCTCCTCAGGATCTGCAGCAATATCTCGTTGAAGGTGTCGACAGGTCCGGGCAGGCAGAAATGGAGGCAGTCGGAGTAAATCTTATCCGGCACGCCGTGCTTGAACGGGTCGCGGTTCATGTACACGCCGGGGTGCCCGTCTGGCCGCATCGTCGCCAGCTTCGTCACGTCCAGCACCTCGATCCTAGTCGGCGCGCCGCCCGCAGCCGCCGCACTCCTCGCCCTCGCCTTGGCGTCCTCCGCTTCACCGTACACGATGTCCCTGACCTCCTTGCGGATCCAATCCACCTCCTTCTCCCCTTCCTTCTACGGCTCCATCTTCGTGCACACCGTGGGGCTGTCGGTGGGGCTGCCATCGAAGTGCGCCGGCGAGAACGTGGCTAGCACCAAGGTCCGGGGACGGCGGCCGTTGTCCTCGGCGATTTTTTTTTTTTTAACATTTTTTGTAAACTAATTTTAAATCTAACACTGTTTGTTCTTTTTTCAAAACTAACACTTTTGGCCGCGCCTATTGCCATGGCACGGCGAAATGCCCGTGCCGCGCCACGCATGGTGGCGCGGGGATAGGGGATGACGTGGCGACGATCGGGGCTGCTGACCGGTAACGTGGCAGGGTCTGCCGCGCCACCGATCGTGGCGCGGCACTGATGCGCCATAGCCCACGAGCCACCCTCCCTCTGTCTACCTGCCCGTCGTCACAAGACGCCAAGACGCCGCCCAGCCAGGCTCTCCGCCTCGCAAAGCACTCGCCGCCCGACGGCCGCCCACCCACTCCCACATCACAGAATAGCTAGCATTGCCGCATGCCACCGACGCCGGCCACCCGCTCATATCAAGGTACCTCCCTCTCTCGATTTCATGTTATTATGATTGTTATTTTAGTTAGGGTTGGTGATTTAGGATAGTTAGGTTAGTGAATTTGTTTATTTAGGTATGTAGTTTTTAGGGTTTAGGTTATGTGTTGTAGTATAGTTGAGGTTTGGTTAGATAGTTAGGGTTTAGGTTACTGATAGTTAGGATTTTGGGTTTAGGGATTGATTAGGTATTTATTATTTAGTTAGTTTATAGTAGTAAAGGTTGTCAGTATAGATACTAGTTTTCAAGCGTTGGTACTTAGTAGTGCGTGATATGGCGATTTGGATGACTTGATGAAGTTTTGTCAAATGCTTATTTTTATAGTGAAGTTGTTTAATATGTCTTCTAATGTTACTTTGAATATATACATGTGCTTTTATATTGTGTTCGTATTACATAACAAGTAGTTCAAATTTTGTAATGATACATAATATTAATTTGAATATTGTTAATTTGAATACTTTAACTCTTTGTTTATCAATTTGTAACAGGATGGACCCTCCCACGCAGCACCCGTTGTATCCCTTTCTTGAGGTGGAGTACGACGACCAGCACCGAGCACACATCTTGAATGACACCGACGCAGAGGTGGCCTTGCCTCCTTTGAGGTCCCGCACGCACACCAAGACACACCAGTGAGACGAGCGTTACGCGTCGTACATACGGTGTGTCGGCTTCCTCGAGCTTGTTCGTGTTGTCAACTACGGTCTTCCGCTCCTTGACCCAGCACTACTTACTGCGGCTGTAGACAGGTGCGAGTGCCTTCTTTGTATGTAAACATTCTTATAACAAATTTGAGGCAACTAACAGTCGTTCTATTCTTATAACAGATGGAGGCCTGAGACCCACACGTTCCACCTACCTTGCGGCAAGATGACCTTGACCATGCAGGACGTGAAGGGTATCTTTGGCCTTCGGTTGGGAGGACTTCCAGTGACCGGTATAGTCGACAACGATCACTGGAGAGAGCTGGTGGCTCAGTTCACTGGCTTTCTTCCACCGGACGACGAGGTTTCCAAGAAAAACAAGTGAGCAATTCAAGCCTATTTAATACTTGCATTGCTTTCCTGCAGCCATCGGGTCTTATTTTCTTTGGTGAATTTCAGGAAAAGTTCCGGTGTTTCGTCGTCCTAGATCACAGAGCGCTTTGATTACTTGGACCCACAGGCTGATGAGGCTCAGATCGACAGGTTCGCTAGAGTGTGGCTCTAGCACTTCCTTGGTGCTTTCCTATTCCCAGACGCCTCGGACAACACCATTAGCTGGATCTTTCTTGACATACTACGCCAGCCATGGGAGAACATAGCGGCGTATAGCTAGGGCAGCGCAGTCCTGGCATGGACGTATCGACAGCTATGCGTTGCCTGCCATCGCCCCTCAGGGTATGCGAACCTTGGGAGTTGCTCCTACCTACTCCAGGTTTGGTGTTGGGAACGATGGCCCGTTGGGAGGCCCCTTGCTACTGGTTTACCGGTAAGTACTTCGGTTCACTATATTCTTCGAGGCAGTTACATATGATGAAATTATTAATGGCTAATTCATTATCGTGTTCAATGCAGCAATAGAACGGGCAGGATACACTCTCTACAACTCTGTATATATGGACGCAAGCAGAGTTAGTTAAAGGGAATGCGAGGCGCAAGTACAGGGAGTACACGGACAGTCTCGACGTCCTGACATAGCACCAGGTTACACTCTCTTTAATATCATACATGTGTCCTGTTCGATGTACACTATATCACAACCTAACTCAATTACGAAATGTTCAGGTGCATTGGTGTCCTTGGGATGCTCCAGAGCTCGAGTACTATCTGAGTCCTGTCACTAGAGATGAGTCAAACGAGTATCGCTGCAACGTCCCTCTTATTTTTCTTCCACGTGGTCGAGATTCACTTGCCCATCAGGGTTTGCAAGCAGTTTGGAAGAATGACATGCTATCCGCCACCGCTTTACTCCACCAAACAAGAATTACACGGGTGCGTTATCGATTAATAACAAAGCTACAATTCAGATGTGTGTGTGGTACAATTAACAATCGTTTTGATGCAGGTATGACCGCAGGAAGAGGTACAAGACCAAGGATTGGCGCGTGACACACAACACGTACATCCAGTTGTGGCAGAACAGGGGCCGGCAGCCGGTCCATGCAGGTCCCCCACACGACCAGCACACCTTCGACGAGTAACTACGGTGGCTTCACAGGTCTACGAGGACACATATCAAGCCCACGTATACTGAGGAGGCGATTGACGAGGACTCAGAGGAAGATATGTACGACGTTGCCACTAGGGCCGACACACAACTACAGAGAGACCCGTTTCAAAGATACGTGGTAAGATACTCGAATGGTATAATTTGTTATCCATTTGGTATTAAGTATGTTTACTAAAACTGTTCAACCGCGTTTCTGTACCCAGACGACACAATTGTCAAGGATGTCCAATGAAGCAGCGTTTTGGCTTCACGAGTCTAGAGGGCAGGGGCCAGGCGTTCTCGAGGCTTTTGTGGAGGTAAACATAAAGTTGTCCGTTCTGAAAGTGTTTCTTTAGTGTATATGCGTTTGAGAAATGTACTAACTTTAACGTCTATTTATGAAGAAGGTGAAGCAGAGCTGTAGGAAGCTAGCTCAGAAGCTGAGCTACATGGACACTCCTTGGATGGAACCGGCAGTCCCGGCGCGGTCGGGTGACACGTCTTCTGGCTCTTTGAGGACACCAACCAGCTCTTCACAGTCGGTGAGAGGTGCCACTTCCGCAGTGCATACACCACCACATCATAGCACTGGGAAGGACCCTGCAAACGAGGACGACGACGATGACCCCCTGGGCTTCCGCAGACAACACCACCAGTAGGACGATTGGTCGTAGGACGAGATCGATATGTCTCAGCTAGGTGGTGCCCCGCTTGGTACCTAAGGAGCCTCACAGGTAGTAACAAATGTAGTTTCTTTAAATACGTAGGCTCCATGAACTAACGATCATAAAGATTATAAGTAATCGTGCATGTCATATACTTGCAGGGTACGAACCATATGCACCGCAACGCAACCACACCGACATTGGCTACACTCCCAATGTGTTGCCAACAAGTCCGAAGAGACAGAGGCGTCCGATGGATCCTTACACTCCTGGGTCTTACTTTGTTAGGTCGAACGAATATTGTCGTCCGAAACTTGAAGGATTAGTTGGTTATGTTATGTCGAACTTATGTCGAACCAATAAAAATATTATGTGGCAGCTTATCAACTTGTGCACGGACTTTATTTATTTGCTTCATATTCGTTTCAATGCGTCGCGGCAGCACTGCCGGCGAGATTAACTAGCAACTAGTTCGGAAACCGGCAGTCCCGGCGTATCTTGCCGCCGGTGGCCAACATCTTGACCCCGATCCTCCTGAGCTTGGTCATCGCCGCCATGAAATCGCCGAAGAAGGCACCCTGGTTGGACGCGCAGTAGTCGACCGTGCTGCGCGACCTCATGTCGGACTAGAGCACCTGGTCGGGGCCCACCGGCGAGGGGTCGAGGAAGGCGAAGGCGTTGGGGTCGGAGCTGCAGGTGCCATTTAGCTGCGACGTGAAGCCGGGGTCCATGGTCGCGTCGCTGCCGATCCTCACCGACAGCAACCAATCTTCTGTCTGCGTCCAGGTCCTGCCGCGCCGTGGGCTATGGCGCGTCAATGCCGCGCCGTGATCGGTGGCGCGGCAGACCCTGCCACGTCACCGGTCAGCAGTCCTGGTCGTCGCCACGTCATCCTCCTGCCGGCAATAGGCGCGACCAAAAGTGTTAGTTTTGAAAAAAAAAAAGTGCTAGATTTAAAATTAGTTTAAAAAAGTGTTAAAATTAAAAAAAAATCTCCCGGCGGCGGAGCTCAGCCGCTCCACGGCCGTCCGGTACACCACCTGAGCGGCCACGCGTAGCCAATGCCGGTGTAATTCATCTCCGCGGGGGCGTTGTGCGCGCCTATCACCTCGCTGCCGTTGTAGTATATGGCGCCGTTCAGCAGCCAGTGGCCGGCGGCGAGCACGGCGACGTCGATCGTGTCGGCGTCGGCGCCCCACCCGTCGCCGGGCTGGTCGAGGTGCACGTGGTTGTAGGGGATGCTCTCGTCCTCGGCCTTGCCCGTGGCCCTGACGAGGAACGGGTTCCAGTAGAAGGACACCCTCACGTCGTGCGCCGGGAACGCGTACCGCCAGAAGTTGTGTTTCTGCTTACCCTGGCCCTCGTCCCGGTAAAGGAGCCGGCTCGGGAACGCGGAGCTGAGGAGGCAGACGAGGGACTGCGCCTGGTTCCGCGCCATGGAGTCGCCGAGAGGAACGCCCCGGCGTCGAACGCCGGCAGCGCGCACGACGAGGTACCCCGTGTCTGGCCGCCCGTTGCGTATGCAATCGTGGCTCTCCTTCACGTCGCACTGGGTGGCGTTGTACCGGCGCGCATGGCCCGGCGCCCACACCCATTGCCCCTCCGAGTAGTTGCAGCTCTTTGCTCCTTCAGGCACAGATGAGACGAAGGAGTAGGTGTTGTTGATGTAGTTGAGCAGAGGCGAGACGAACACCGCTCGCTGATTGCCGGCGGGGCTGCAGCAGAGGAGGTGGAGGAGAGCCATCGAGAGGAAGCCGCAGGCGAGCCAAGCGCAGACGGGTTTGGACAGGAAACAGCCAGGGCTTTTGCTCGACGACGGCGGCGGCTTATGGCTGTGGGGATCCAGAGGCTGGTACTGGTACGCTCCCATCTCTCTTGGCATCTAGCTAGTGCGCCAAGCTCATTGAACTGTGGCAATGGTTGCTGAAACTTGGCAAGGGATTGTATTGACAAGTTCAATGTGTATAGGGATGAATGCATTAACCTTGGGAAGACATTGGGGACCTTCTTGTGTACTACGAGTAGTAGTATACGTCATGGATTATAAGTCAGAAGTACTGCTGGCTGGTTTGGTGTGAAAGAAAAATATTGTTCTAGTTTATAATCTATGATCGTATAAACCGAAACGAACAGACTCATATAGGATCATCAGCTAAGTATTGGGCTGTTGCCTCAAATTAAATAAGTACAAGTGGCAGCGGTGTGGTTCGAATCCCGTAAACACATGTTGATAAACAGCTCCTTTTGTGAAACCTAGATCTAACATGCAACTCCTTATGACTTCCCTATACTTTTTCGTTGTGCCAGCAGGCATTGTGTACACACGGCCCTCAAGCCACGAGTATAGCTAAGTTACATATTTTACTTCTTTTACGACCGGAAGCGAGATTTCATAGATTAAAAAAATAATAATGCTTGGCCATGGGCGCCCGTTCCGTCCAGACGCGGCTCCTCCACTCATCCACTATCTCTCAAAAAAAATCTCCACTGCACTTATCCGCTTGTCTCGGCGTGGGCGCGTGGACGCTCATCCACCTACCACACTCTGTCCCGTCGCACCCCATTCCCCACATCGTTCCTGTCCCCCGCGCACGCCGTGCCCTTTCCCCTGCCACGCCACACCCCATCGCCGGCCGCACGGCAGCACCATTACCCCGGAGCCACCAGGAGAGGTCGCCGCCGGTCCAGACTTCGTGTTCCGCGACCGGCCGAAGACACCGAGACAGGAAGAGGAGGCCTGCGCACGATGGGCCGTTTGCTCTCGACGTTCCCTATGGATCCGAGTTTGCTGGCTACCGCAGTCCCCCATCAGGTAGGCCTTAGCCACCGGCGACGCCATGTTTCAAATGTTTCAGTCATTTCAGACTTATGTTTCAAGTGTTTCATCTGAATCCTGCAAAAGTCGATCTGGGATGTTGCATATGTTGCAAAGACAATATACGCATGTAGCGAGCCTATGTTTCATGTGTTTAGGACGTTTGTTTCAAATCTTTCATCTGGATGTTTCAAAAGTTGATCTGGTGTTGCACATGTTGTAATGGCTAACACGCATGTTTCAAGTGTTTTATCTGTCTTCAAACGTATGTCGCATATGTTTCATCTGGATATTTCAAAAGTAGATCGGATGCTGCATGGCGCCAGTGGCTGGCGGAGAGCGACCTGCCGTAGGGCTTCAGCTCCAACCTCACGCCTTCCTCGCGCGGCGCACCTCGCCCTCACCTTTCCTCTCCCTCTCCTCCCTTCCCTTCCCTCCATCTTGTCGTGGCAGTTCGAGCTTGACTTGAGCAGGTTGTGCATGGGCCGAGGGAGTTGCGCGTGTCAGGTGCAAGCGCGGGAGCTCCGTCCGAACTGACGCTGCCTTCGGAGTGGGATGGGCACAGGGCGAAGGGATCTGCATGCGTCATGGTAGGGAATGGGGCGCAGCAGGTATGGGTGTCCGGACGTCCAGACGCTAGCACTACCATAAAAAAAATCATGGCATGGTCAGCTGCACTAACAAAATGAGGCTGAGGCACACAATTAATTCCAAGTCCTTGTGAAGCTTACTTGGCGTAGAATTCCAAAAGGACGCTGGTTACCACCGATGCATGGAAATCGTACATCGCCAGCCCTAGGATCTATGTCTACATAGAGATATACTTTCTTTCCCTATTAAGGGTTGCTTGGTGAAGGGGCTCCTCCAAAACAGCTTCGGCTCCTATGTTTTTCACTAAGAGCAGTTCCTCCTACAAAACATTTGGTAAGACTCCTCCGGAGAAGCCGGAGTCATAGTCAGGGAGGAGCCCGACCAAATAGGCCCTTATTAGGATACCTCACCGGCCATCAGTAGCGGAGCGTACCTGCAAAACAAGGGGTCATTTTCAGCTAATATACTGGGCCTTGCTAGCGCTATCAAGCCACATTTTTCATTTAGCTAGTTGGGTCACCAAGGTAAAATCCATTCAGCTATCTCTTCAACATCTCTTGCACTGACTTCGACTCATGTTCATCTTTTTTAACTCTCTAACATTAAAAGCCATCAAACATTACCGGAGCCCAGTTTTGTCTTCATCATTAGGCTTCGCCCCCTGCCGACCATCCTTCACTACTAGCCACGCCCTGCTGCTTCTTTATTTCTTTCACCGTCCTTATCACTATCGACTAGTGCCAGAGCTTGACCATAGAACTATGGGGGAGGGAGAGGGCAGTTCATAGATCTGTGAATTAAACAACAATGAATGGTATTAATTTTACTGTTTAAATAGTGCAAAAATGGCATTGGCAAGGGTGGCGATGGCCCACTTGGCCATAACGAAGCTCGGCCCTGCTGTCGACAACGGGGCTGCTGCCCTTCATTCGATCCTCCGTCTCCCCTCCCCACCTCTAAAAAATATCTTTACAAAGAAAGCAGTTTGAAAATAGTGATACGTCAAACAACCTAAATTTTGACCAAATTTATATAAAAAGACGATACTAATACATACTAAATAGTACAATTACAATCATAGTGAAATATATTTTCAATAGTATATCCATTTAGAGTCATACATATTGATATTATTACCTATATATTTAGTTAAAATTAAGATAATTTGACTTTGATTAGATTTAGAATTGTTTTTTTTTTGGACTCAGGTATTGTTAATCAAGATTCAGTGGTTAAGATCAGTTAGAGAGAAAGTTCATAAATGCATTAATTGAATTAATACCTATTTGGATCCCATGAAACTAACAATTAGCTGCTAAAAATTAGGTGAGGTCTTGTTTAGATCCATAGCTAATAAGGGGTTGTTTGGTTTCCCGCCACCATTTCCCACGCCACACATGTGGCTGCCATACAAGGTTGGTTGATGTTTGGTTTGCGTATAGACTGTGACAATCACAAGTTTTTTCAGTGTTGATTCTCACCACACCTGTGGCGGCCATTTCCTTCGCCTTGCCCTCGGCAACGCCACAACTGTTGTGGTAGGCGATGGCCATAAACCAATAAGCAGCCCCTAAGTAAACTAACATCAGTATCTATCACCCAGCTAACAATTTACTATTAGCTAATTTCTCTTAGCAACACAATTAGCTGGTATGATTCAAACCGGGCCTTATATGCAATGTTGTATACTTGATCTACTCAAAGCATTTTCCACTAAGCTATTGCCATAGAAAACAACCCCAACCCCACGAAACACGAGGCAGAGTGTTTGACTTCATTAAGATTGATAAGACATCACCATTGAAGCAAGTGCTACAGTAACACGATTGCCACTGAAGTCGGTTGTGTATTGCTTAGCGGACTGAGCATCTGGGCCTGCACTATTTTCCTCTAGTAAATGCCCAGCGAGTCCTTGGTTTGACACTAGAGTAACAAGATCGTGGGCTTGATAAAAATCACCGGTTAACTGTCCTGTTACCTAAGAAAGTTCTGGAGAATTTTCGCTTTTTAAAATTCCCCCAAGGTCAAATGGCACATTGAGCAGTTCAGTTCAGTGGAGAAGTGCTTATTTTACCTCAAATCTATGACCAAATTAAATGCTCAACGAGGGACGAGACGCATGGAGATCTACGTGAGTGGACTCTATAATCATAATGGAGCTAGTAAGATCTATCCATATTCGTCCAGCTACCTCACCACAAGAATCTCAAACATGAGAGATACGGAGTAGATGTCTATGATAATCGTCCCGCTGATTAATTTACGATCCATGTCAACTATTGCTGGCAGTCAGACTCAACTGTCAATTAAGCAAGTTATTGCTTCGAGATACGAGTAGGCGCCAGTATGATACTGTTGATTACCATCTTCTGTACTGGTAAAATTTAGCGTACGTAGTCACTTCGAGTGTTTGTTTCCATGTCCAACGTACGCATCGCACAAGTAGGGAAACAAAAAGGTGCAACAGTAGTCTGCAGGCTGCAGCATGCATGTATCAACAAAACAAGATGCATGATCTACACATCTAGTAGTGTCCGCGATCTGAATCTGCCATGATTTCACCGCTTCGTCCTCAGGATCTGCTGCAGTATCTCGTTGAAGGTGTCGACGGGGCCGGGCAGGCAGAAGTGGACGCAGTCGGACGACATCCACGGCTGCGGGCCGCCGTGCGCGAACGGGTCGCGGTGCATGTAAAGCCCGGGGTGGCCGTCCGGCCGCATGACCGCCAGCTTCGTCACGTCCAGCACCTCCACCCTCGCGCCGCCGCCGCCTGCTTCACCACCACCACCATTCCTCGCCCTCGCGGACTCGACCTCGTCGTAGACGAGGCCGACCAGCTCCATGTCGAGGTGGCGCGGCTCCTTCTCCCCCTCCTTGTACGGCTCCTTCCTCGGGCACAACGTGGTAAGCGTGTTGCCTTCGAAGTGGCCCGGCGAGAAGGTGGCGATCACCACGGTCCGTGGCGCCCGGGCCCGGCTGCCGCCGCCGGACCCGCCGGACCCGCCGGAGCTCGTCATCAGCCGGTCCAGCGCCATCCGGTACTTCACCTTCATCGGCCAGGCGTAGCCGATGTCCTCCTCCGGACTGAGCTCCTGGTGGCCGTGGTGCCCGATCCGCGCGCTGCCGTTGTAGTAGATGGCGCCGTTCAGCGGCCAGTGCGCGATGGAGAGCACCACGACGTCCATGCCGTCGGCGTCGGCCGCCCACCGGTCGTCCAGCGCGTCGAGGTGCACGTGGTTCATGTTCTGCGGCAGGCTGTCGTTCAGCGCCTTGCCCGTGGCCCTGGCGATGAAGGGCGCCCAGTAGAAGGACACCGTCACGTCGTGCGCCGGGAACGC